TCAGCTGGGAAAGATTCTGAGCCGGTTTGCATTGCAGGAAGCGGCCCCTTGTCATGTTGCATGTTCCCCCCCCTGGGTTGTATTACCGTGCGTGCCAAAAAGCGAAGCGCGTCTTCCAACGCGACTCACGAAAGCGTTAATTCGTGCCCAGACTAAATTGGCCAATGCGCCTTCCACATGCCACCCACAATCTGGATAGCGCCGGCTGCTGGGACGTATAAGGAAAGTGAACGTTATGCTCACCCAGCTGGAGAACAGACTGCTTGGACCCGACCGATCGAGAGCAGCCTGTCCCGGACAATTCTCCCCATTAACGCCGCGCCATCCCGACAGCTGATGGAACCTTGTTACCGGAAGGGCCGTAAAGCCCACGCCGGTCTGCACCTCCCTGATCTGAGACCCTCACCGAAGGAAGAGCAGACGGCAAGGAGATGGTGCTATAGGCAACTAGTTTGCATCCAAAAGGGTTAACCAACACTCACCCGGAGATACTGAAGCATTACATCATGGCCCAGAGCCCCCCCTTTCCCACCACTGCACGCTATTGTCCCAATTTCTTTTATGCTCGACTAAAAGGATGAGGGGATGCCATGGGGATTGGCAGTGCTCAATGGCTGCAAAGATTTTCCATGGGTTAGGTGAGCTCTAGCTATGAAGGGATGAGGGCAAGCCAGGGTGACTGGTGGTGTTCCATTAATGCAATTATTTTCCATTGGTCCTCCAAGCTCATGCCATGGTTGAGGGCAAGTCTAGATACTGAAGCATTACATCATGGCCCAGAGCCCCCCCTTTCCCACCACTGCACGCTATTGTCCCAATTTCTTTTATGCTCGACTAAAAGGATGAGGGGATGCCATGGGGATTGGCAGTGCTCAATGGCTGCAAAGATTTTCCATGGGTTCTGCAAGCTCCAGCCATAAAGTGATGATGGCAAGCTGCGGGGGGATTGTCAGTTCTCTATGGCTGCAAAGACTTTCCATGGGTTCTGCAAGCTCCAGCCATGGATGGATGAGGTCAAGTCCACGGGAATGACAGTGCTCTATGGCTTCACAGATTTTCCATGGGTTCTGCAAGCTCTGGCCATGGGGGGATGAGGGCAAGCCCGGGGGAATCGCGGTGCTCTATGGCTTCAAAGATCTTCCATCACT